CAAAAGATGCAACTAGCAGTCCCAAAACAGGGTTTTACACTGCAGAACCTTACAGAGCAAGCCTGAGCAGCACTTGCTTTTAGTGCTGGCAAACCCTTCATAAAAACAGGTAAACTGGCATTTGGGGGCGGTTGGAAGTTGGAGCACTTGAAGCACAAGGTGACTGAGAGTGAAGAGTGGACAAGCTTCTGCCAGAAGAGGCTGGGTGTGACATGCACCGTCTGTTGGCCAGCAGATAACTATCCAAAGCAGATCAGTAATTTCATCTGCTCCCATGGGCTTGCACCTCTTTGAGAAGACTCAACATGATGCTATCAGCCCTTTTCTTTTTGTCACCCAGGGTTTCTCACAAGGCTGCCAGTTATAGAGAGCTTTTTTTTTTTTTTTTTCAAGAAATTAGAGGCAAATTCTCAAAACTTAATCCTGAATGCATACTCAAAAGCATTTTTCCCTCCTCCTGCTTGGTTTACAAATGGAACTGTCTTTCCCAGTGTACTTAGACACATGTATTTCTGCTTCTAGACAGATAGCTGAAAAGGGGAACATCTACAATTTAATCCCCAGAAGTAAGTTCTGCTTGAGTCTGTTCTTTTATCCACAGGAACCACAGAACAGCATAGTCCAATTTTTCAAATTTAAGTCTTTAAAAAAAAAAAAAGTCCATTCACTGTAAAAGAATGGCTGGAGTGGCTGACAGTGCTGGATTGTTTCCATTTTGCTGCTGACTGATTTGACAGTTCATGGCTATAGGTCTTTTGTGAATTATCTATCTCCCTTATGTAGGTTTTAAAAAAGCATCCACTCTGTTGTAAAACAGACTTTTCTGAAAGGTTAAGCAAAATCATATGGCTTCCATTCTTTCCTTCCTTATTGATTTTAATATGATGTTTTCTTTACACTGAGGCATGAATTACATGTTTTCCTTGGTTATAAAAGTTGATTTTCTAACTGAGTCTATAAGCCAAAGCATAAACAAAAGCACAGTTTTGCCATAGATGCATTCAACTAATATCATGATAAGAATAAGAATAATTTTAAAAAATAAAAATTAAAAGAGGGAGCTAAAGGTGAGGTCAGCACTAGCCTCAATTTTCTTGACTCAACAATTCTTTTCAAAGAAGGCATAAGGGAGTACGTGGTCAAATATCATTCTGTTGAAGGAAAAGTCTTTTTTTTTTTTTTTTTTTTTTTGTAAACAGTACACAGTACAAAAGGTATCTGTCTAATCGTTATCATTTTTTTCTTGGGAAACCCTGATCCTACACCAGGGATAACATTATGATCCACTTTCTTAGAATCTGAAAGAATTACTGTAAGCAATCGAGAACTCTTCCAACTCATTTATGTATTATTCACTAGAAAGGTTGAACTGAAACTTTTGCTCATGCCAGCCTGTACCACAGACAGTAAAACAGTATCACTCAGAGACAGCATTAACACCACATTGCTAGCTACTAAATGTGATGTGTCTACCCATCAACACACCTTCCAAGTAGAGAATATTTCATCTCATTGGGGGAACTAGCCACTAAAATAGGATTAGCAGATGAAAATGAAATCAAACTACAATAAATTTGTATAATAGGAAATTCTGTGCACTGTTTCAGAGGAACCAGCCCATATTAGAGTTCTAAACTTTCATTTCCTATTTCTATTCTTCGTAGTTCAATGGCTGAACAGCCCAGACATTGCTGTTGTTGCAATCCTTTAAAAGTACCATAAACTACATAAAAAGTTCATGGAGAAGGGGCTGCAGGGGGGAAGGGGTGTTTCCTCTCTCCCAGAAAGAGGCCAAATGATGATGCTGGGTAATGATCTTCAGTTCAGCTTAGTCTTTTCCATCTGCCACATCCTGAAGAGTCTTATCTCTAAAAATGGAAAGATTTCAGCATCATATGTAGTTGACAACAAGACCTTGCCTATAAGAAGTATTTTAAAAGTTTACTAAGCTTTCTAACAGTTTCTAAAATTTGTTTTGGTTTTGGTTTTGGTTTTTTTTCTAACCAGGAAATAATTTGGAAAACCAAAGGGCAAGGAAGCAATGAAAGATAGCTCTTCCATACTCTGGATACTTAATACTCAAATGATGGCAATTGCCTTTGCCCAGATTCCTATTCAAATAAATGTAGATTTAAGTAAAGCAAGACTGCACCTTGTAGTATCAAGCACCTCTGTGATACCAGAAGAGAATATCCAATCTTTGGGCCAGAGTGAATCCATATGAAACTATTCAACTCTCTACAGACAAACCCTGAGAATTTAGGCATTTTCTAGCATAGGCAGCTGTAAGCAGAAGCTCTGTAACTCAGAAGTGAACCTCCCCTAATCTCACTTTAGTTACTTGTCCTTTATGTGGATAAGAATCTGTCTGTGGATTTCATCTCTTGTCACAAACTGACGCTGTAGTTCATTGCTTTCATAGAGCAGACAGGGAAAAAAAAAAATTGAAATGTAGAATTTTCAAAATCCAGTCATGAATCTAAACTTGGATCCATTATAACTATTCACCAAGAGATCTTAGGGGAAAAAACATTAATACAGAAAAAGATGTAAATTAGGCAAAACAGTAGAGAAACTAAAAATACAGCATACTGAATGTATCATCAGGATACAGCTGTTTTGATTATAAATAGATGTAGCAAAACTTCTAAACCATTTATAAAGGCTTAATTCAAGCTTTTCTGCTTGAACTGAATTCTAGGTTCTTACTGGTTTTAGAAATCCACCAGTAAAGATATAAGAAATTACTTCAGGCACTAGCTTTTACAGCAAAGTCAATAAAAATAAAACCCCAATATGAACCATCCTTTCGGCCGCATATGTTATGGTGGAGATATATGCTACACTAAGCAAATCCATGCCTAAGAGAAGGACTAAAGACTCTTTTTTGTGCTGGTACAATACTGTCTTGGCTTCCATGGATTTTGCAGATGTGTGACTTTCCCATTGTCCTCACCTATGAGGCAGTTGTCATGCCATGGCAAAAAAAACCCCAAAGAACCCAACCTAAAGAAACCCTCAGAATCCCAAACAACAAACATCAGAAGTCATAGAGGTCACACAAACACTATGAGAACCGGGGTTATGGATTAGTTTGGGACAGGCATGAGATAGCCCCAGTTCAGGCTGTTGACTACAGGGCAGCTGGCAATAAAGCACCATAAAGGAGAGCTTGACCTCGCTTCTCTGACATCTCGCTCTTGCCCAGCATTTCCCAACAGAGCTCGCTGTTTGTCACCTTAGTCATAGGAATTCACTCACAGTACCACAAACTGAAAGTAAGAGAGCAACCGCTGCTCACAGGTGCCCAAGCAGGACACACTGCTGTCTTCTGGCTGTCTCTGCTGGAAAAAAACAAAAAGGCGGCTTTCTCTCCAGATGAGATACTGAGAGTATCTGCTAATGACAGTATGATTTTGCAGTTTATTAAATTGTATCAACATCCAAGAAGATAGCCTTTGATCAGTATATAAAATCATGAAATAGAGCTAAAGAATATTCTTGTCTGAAAATAATTTAGACCGACAGATTCCTTCTGTGGCTGTAGGCTGTAGAGAAACAGAGGAGGCCGACAGAATTTAAAAAAAAATAAAGTTATGTGACAGCTCAGCTTAGCAGTGAAGAACCACTTTGCAAAGTCAGAGTTCTGTCTTAACTCACAGTTTGGCCCAAGGATTGATCATATGTGAATTGTTTCATTCCTCTCTTCTAGATTCAATTATTAAATTGTTTTTGCATTATGTCTGAAGAGTCACACTCAGCTTCCTGGTCCCACATGAGGCGGCAGGCTGCTGTCTTCACTAAAAATATTATTCAGTCAGTCAGACATCAATAATATTGGTTGCCAGTTTAAGGCAAGACACTGTTGGGGCTCTGGCTCTTATTTGAAGTAATTTCCATTTAGGTATTTGATTAATTTCTTGTTTAAAGAAGAATCTCTTTTAACTGCTTGCATTAGAATTTCACAGTTCACCAAAATAACATAAAACTTCATTAAGTCTTCACAGGAAAATAACTTTACAAAAAAGTATTTTTTATCTTCAGTATATATGCTCAGTCAGTTGGATAGATGAAACATGTCAATAGTAGGTGTAATAGAGGACATTTAACAAAAAAAATTCAAAAAATCTGTATTAATATTTCCAGACAATTGTGTTATTCAATATGAGAATAGCTACTCTACTGTTCCTGTATTAATTATTATGTGTAATGTCACTGTGTCCTTTTTTGTTTATATTTCTCAACTTGCTAAAGCCCGAATACTGGAAGATTTGTTCATGCAGTACAATAATATCCAAAACACAAAATAAGGCATCTGAAGTAAATATAACATATACTGGTGTGCATTTTCTACACCAAATGTTCTTAAACAAGATTAGGGCATCTCCTTTCAAAACATGTGCATTAAAATTCTAGGCATGTAGTAAGAGAGATCCAGATGGGTAGAGGCAGTTGAGAAATATAATGCAGTAGCTGTGTTACGTCTGAAGAGGGGTGGAGGTCTTCATACAGTCTTTGTGACTGTAGATGGTGTACTATATTTCCTTTCCTTTATATTTCATTTCAGCTTGCTCTCCTTCTCAAAATCACCAAATGCAAAGAATGTTTCTTGAGAAATATGAGGAAGGGCCACTGGGACCTTCATTTTTACAAGATTACCAGATGAAATGTTTCAGATGAATAACTGGTTTTCTGTAGGTTTAATCAGAAAAGCAGTGTTAATCAATGTAACCCATTCTTTTTTTCCATCAGGCTGTTGATTTGAATTATTAACATGACTGGAGAAAAAAATGTGGCTGTATACTATTAGGTTTAGAACACCTTATTCTATGTGAAAATAAGCATCATCTGCAAAAGATGATAACGCAATATTGGAATGTAAAGTATAAAAGTGAAAGTGTTTGCAGCATGTGATTTTGATGAATTACATTTTTTCTTAACGTGGATGATACTTATGTCTTACAAGGTTTTTGGTAACCCGCTGTTCCTACCCTGTACAGCAAGGTCTACTAATCACCGACCTGCAGAAAGTTCTGTCTCCACTGGCTCGTCAGCCAGTAGCTTTGGCAGTGGATACAGCATGGATAGCGAAGGCAGCAGCAGTGCCACAGGAGAGAATAATCTATTTCCCATCCCAAGAATGTAAGGCTTTTCCTTTAATATACTATATTCTCCGTGCACTGACTATGTATAACCCTTTCACTTGTCAGTCATTTTCTTATGTAGTTTCCTCTGCAGACTTGAGTTACGCAGTAGAATAGCAGCTAACTCAGGAGAATTTCTCAGAGCTCAACTTTTATGCTGCTTTTTTGAGCATTGAATTGTTAATAACCAACCAAACCTCTGCTCAACCTCATGAATTTATTGCTGTGTCCTGGTTTCAGCTGGGATGGAGTTAACTGTCTTCCTAGTAGCTGGTACAGTGCTATGTTTTGAGTTCAGTATGTGAAGAATGTTGATAACACTGATGTTTTCAGTTGTTGCTCAGTAGTGTTTAGACTAGAGTCAAGGATTTTTCAGCTTCTCATGCCCAGCCAGGGCACCTGACCCAAACTGGCCAACAGTGTATTCCATACCATGGGACGTCCCATCTAGTTTAGGAACTGGGAAGTGGGGGGCAGGGATTCGCCGCTCGGGGACTGGCTGGGGGTCGGTCGGCGGGGGGGGAGCAATTGCCCTGCGCATCATTTGTACATTCCAATCCTTTTATTACTACTGTTGTCATTTTATTAGTGTTATCATTATCATTAGTAGTTTCTTCTTTTCTGTTCTATTAAACCGTTCGTATCTCAACCCAGGAGTTTTACTTCTTTTCCTGATTTTCTCCCCCATCCCACTGGATGGGGGGGGGAGTGAGTGAGCGGCTGCGTGGTGCTTAGTTGTTGGCTGGGGTTAAACCACGACATGCTGTCAGACAGGAGAGGTGCTAGTCTCAGCCTTTGATGAAAGTGTGTAGAGGTGGGCTTGAGTTGTGTTTTAAAAGTACAACTTTTGTAGGCCTGAGAATGCTTAGTTTAAGTTTTCAGATTGACCTCCTTCTACAAAGAAGTGTAGTGCAACTCAAATTCAGATTCCAGATATAACCCAACTTTTCCCAAGTTTTAAAGATTTTGAGTAGAATTTCTCTGTTCTTGGTTGGAAAAAGCTTTTGGGGATGGAGTCCCTGTAGGAATTATCAAGCTACTATCAGTGTAATGATCCTATAAAATGATTTAATTTTCAAACATTTTACCCAGTTAACTACTCCACAGAGAAAAGTTTTGCCAGGATTTTTTCCCCTCAACTTTGGTAGCATGCACCTTCATTTAGCAATTTCATTTATATTCCTTTATAGGCAAAAGTAATTTCTCCTGATCAACTTAATGTTTCTGGCCTGAAAATTTTATAGATTGACTGTTCTCAAAATATTAGTTGGTGGTCATTGCTCATTCAGTGACTGCAATAGTTGTTCCATGTTTTTCTGTGGGACACAAGTTTTTGCTTTTCCCTTGAAGTCCTGAATTATTAGTCACAAGAGCTTGATATAATCTTCCTAAAAAAAGCTTGAATAAAGAAAAAATTCATTCTCTAGAACTGTGACATTTCTATGTATTCATCATTTTCTAAAATAAAGCCCAGTGGTATTTCTCTACAGCTTATTAGTAGCTAAAATGAAAATAGACACAGATCTAATATCTCAATCTGATCTTCAGAATCTAGGAGGACAATGTGAGCTCAGGTTGTGGGGTGCCAATTGTTTAATCCTCACTGAACTTTTCACTCATGTTGTTCTAGGTTAAAATGAGTTGTACTGACCAGTGGCAAAAAGACGATCTTTAATTGGGTTTGACAATCTCAAAAGAAAATTATTTTGCCGTCATTCCTAATGAAAGCAAAAAAGCATGACAGGAACGGGACTTCCTTATGAAAATCTAGATGAAAAGTTGCAAGTGCCTATTACTAAACACATTAGCAACACTGATGTAGAAACTGCAAGATGCTAGAGATACCAAATGTCCAGACTTCTGACAAATAAGTTAACACTAGATAGCCAGTTAAACTTCTACCAAAAAGTACAAAATAAAAACATATTTTTGGGTTTTTTTTGACAAAAGCAAAGATGCATAAAATCTTTGTGCACAGAAACACAAGATGGAGGTCCTAATAGAAGTTTTTAGTTCACATATGCTAAATTTGAGTCTAAATAGTATCACTTACTCTGTATTGCCTAGCAATGTGACATTATCTACAGTTACTTGGTATTTCTCTGACAGATTCACCAGTCTATTAAGCCTGAAATCAGCCCCACTTCTACTGGAAAGCAGGAAGAAGTCTCCATGGCTTCGGCTTTTCTCTTAGTAATTTGTTCCCATGAATTTTACTTAATCAAATAAAATATATCTAGGCCTCTTATTTTCTGCTAAGGGCTAGACTATCTTTTTTTTTTATTATTATGGCATTTTTAAAATAAATTGTTTATATGCTCATATTAGACAGAGACTTTAAAAATTACACAGGACTTTTATATAGATGGGAAATGCTTTCTTTTCCATTGTAGTCTTAAGGGCTTTACATAGCAATGTAATGAAGACGAATGACAAAATTACTGTTTACCATCAGAGACCTTTGGGATAATTCCTGGGGAGAAGGTTTTAAAAAAGATAACTGTTTCCATTTTGAATTCTGGATAAAAATTCTTATAAGTCTGAATATATGTATGATTGAAATTCTAGTCAACATTTGCATTCCCACTGGCTTGATAATGACTTCAGGGACTCTGACCTTGTACACTAATTCAGCATATCCATGAGAATACAGCTCACAATTTGGATGTGAAGCATTAAGGAGGCTAAATAATTCTAAGTGTCTTGGCATATAAAAACATCTTTGGTTATAAACTCCCTGTTTAGATTATGTTGCTGATCTATCAATAGAAAAATTATTGGACAGGCTGAGTTTTAAACTCTTTACTCTAGTCCAAATGCTTTTAATCATAGGAACATTTAGTCATGAAGCAAAATAAAAGAATTAAATAGTGACACTGTGGGAATTGTTTGATGAGGTAACTAATTAGAACACTTGCCAATACTAAATATTGTTATAACTATCAAGGGAAATTAGCCATTATATACAGTTATACACAGCTGAATAAATCTTGTAAAGTCTTTCTATTTGGGAGATATTTTTTTAAAAAGACTCTTATTATCCAGTTGTAATACCCCGAAAGTTACTCATGTTATCTAAAGACCAGATTCTCTATGCCTTTGTATTGTGTAGCCATCTATACCAGGATGAAGTCTGTAAAATTATATTAATTTTGAATGCAAAGGTGAAGAGCAACTGAACAATATGTAAGGGATCTAACCATAGGGACAAATAATTCTTGTATCATATTTGTAATACGTTTTATGAAGCATTACTTCACAGAAGAAAAAAAGAATAACTTTCAGTTAAAATTGAATTTTAAATCACTTTAAGAACTGACATTTTATACTAATTGTTTAGTTCATTGTGAACTTGGACAGCTTCTGTTGCTGTTGTGAACATGAAGCTGGCTCACTGGTAGCAAAGAAAAATGCTGACCCTTTAACCCTTTAACTCCAGAGGAATCACATGCATCTGAAGATAATGCCTTATATTCTCTATCACAGCATTTCAGAGTCTTCAAGGAGAAAGACAAATAGAAGCACAAACACCTCATAGTAGCAGACATTTTTGAGAGTGACTGTAATCATGCCTTAGAGTTTGCAACAAGTGTGTTTAAAGATAGCTTAAATTTTACCTAACTTTCATTGCCTAAAAATAGCCATCTAGATTCCAATCCAGGTTCTTTCTACATCAACTGGAGAAAGATAGGCACCTCCAGAGCATAATTTACTGACCTTATTTTAAGATTAATGTAACTCTCAGAACTGAGTTGTTTCTTATGCTAAACATAAACTGTAATGTAAAAGCAATCATTAAAGGAAGAAAATGACCACAAACATGCCTTACCTTTGAAGTAATGGTATTGTAGACCAAATATCAATTTTGTGACTCCTTATTATATATTTCACTATTCACTGTAACAGGATAAAGTGAGGAGAGGAGCTATGCAGACTGGTTGCAGAACACCAGGCTGGTGGGGGGCAGGTAGCAGAGAGCACTTGATGGCCCCATTCTATAAGAATGTACAATCTTAACAAGATATGATTTCAGTTGCCTCAAAAAAAAGAAAAAAATAATATTCTTAAGTAATTGTCCAAATAGCAATAGAAAAAAACTATAATCCACTTTATTTTCTTGAAATTAAATATATATATATATTTTTTTTTTTTTTAGAAATACCTGTGATTTTGTCTTTTTGTACAGAACCAAGCCTTATTGGCTTGGATGTATCATTTTCTTAGATCTCAACTCTTCATGGTCTTATTGACAACTACCACCATATCTTTTAACAGAGGGAAGATGAGCCAGAACGGACAAGAACCTGTAAAGCAGTCGGGAGTAGGATTAACCGATGCAGAAGGTAAAAAGAAATACAAACAACACTACAGTGGTATCCCATGTTTATAGAACTGATATGTTTATTTCTCTTACTTGTTGTGCTATGAAAGGTTAGCCTATGCTCTCTTTGTATTGTAGATTAAGATCCTGACTTTCATTTACTCTAAGGGCCCTTTACACATAGCACCAATGTAATGAGTCTTCAGTTTAAAGGAGAACAGTGTCTTACCTGTTTATTTAAAGTAATTAAATAGTTAGATTGCAATGAATAATATCTGCCTTTCAATGTTCATTGCTTTTCATAGTATTTGAATAAAAAATATGAAGTATGGAGCTGACTCAATACTCATTAAATTAGAAGAAAATATCCAATGGCTGTCAGGCTCTATTTTTATAACATTTCAGAATATTTACTTCTTAAAGCAATTATTAATTTTGGTGTCTACATAAAACATTAAGTTTAAATAAAAATATTAGCTGAACATCAGGTTCGATGGCTGCACTTAGAATATAGTGAAATTCTTATCTGATTAGGAAATCCTGAGTGAATTTTTTCAGTATGAATGTGATGCTGCCAAAGAAGGAGACATTGTAATACTGGAGCTGGAAAGAGCCTGACAGAATGGCTTTCAAAGTTTCATGAGCAATGTGATTATCTCTTTCATGTGCAATAATGGAGAACTGCATGAAAATTGAGAGTGTTTTGTATTGAAGGATATGTTAGGAAAATTCCATTTCCCTTTGCATATAAGGTATATTCTTTCATGTGTATGTTTCTGTTGACCTCAAATATAAAACTTAATTATCATTACCTCCATTTTATTATTAAAATAATACTTTCATCAACTAAATGCATTTCAATGCAGCTTTGAGGTATTAATTCATAAATTGAAATTCATATATACAATTGAAGTTAACTTCATGTTAAGTTCAGTCTTAAAAAAAAATCAACATTTTTCAGGTTTCTGCAATCTGTATACATGGGGAAATAATTGCTGTTGCTATATTTGAGGTAAAAGCAGTCTAATGTTCCACAGATTTGATGAAATCAAATTAGAATTTGAAGGTAGAACTCTAAAACTGTCTTTTCCACATCAAGAATCCTTAACTGTGTATATGCATTCTACTAAATCTTTCAGTACATAGTACTCATCATACAAAAATCCAAATTCAGCTGCTTATCAAACTTCAATTTGTTCAATGGTATTTTTAAGTATTTGAAAAACAAACCATTTTTTAAAAGAGAAATGGTGAGATGAAAATGGGAAATCAGGAATTTTCCATTTTTACTTTGTCATGATGTTTTTTATACAGAATTATATTTGTAAACAAATACTTTTCATCATTTTGTTCATCATAAATTGCCCCTTAGTTAAGGTCTTGGATCATAAATTTCAGAACCTACAAATACAAAATGTTTTAATTTAGTGTTTGTGTCATTCAAAAAAGAAACCAAAAACAAACAAAAAACCCAAACAAACTCAACCAAAGAAAACACCTTTTGAAACATTTGAGAAGATGTGTATATAGCATTTCAAAATCTGCAAATAACTCAAGACCTGCAATTCCCTAATTTTCACTTATGGTACAATTCACCATACAAACTTGAGAACTCTAAGAGTTACAACTCTGTCTGATTAAATAAGTGGTTCTTACTAAGTGTTGTTTCTCCCCATTGAGAGAAGCTGGGGCAGCCTGCCTAGTTTTTAGTGTCTGATTTCTAGCTGACTAAGATGGGACAGATCAATCTCAAATGATAAATTAAACTAAAAGCTGGAAAACAATTCAAGAGCATTGCAGTTTCAGCATGTAAATATAATTATCTTGTGAGGAAGTAGTTCAGAATTTAGAGGAACTCAAGATTAACTGAGAATTACTTCAGTATTAAAGAATTATTGTGGTATTCTTTTCATAGATGAACAAAAGTGAATGAAAATCTTAAAGTCTTAATGATCAAATGATATCTTTTCTGTAGTTCAGTTATCTGTGTTGTGGACCAGATGAGCTCTGCAATTAACTGGAAGCAAATATTCATTCCCATTTTTCATTAATTTGTAGAGAGTTCCCATAGCTGACATTTGTATTCGCATTTGAAAATAAGGATTTAGTGTTGTACTTAAAACCTTTTAATAATAGTACTATTTTTACATTTTCAAATATTCTTAACGGATAACTTCTGTGAAAAGTAGCCTGTGGATTGCTCTCTTTAAAACTGTGCAGAATAAATTAATTGCTTCAACATGCGGATCTACTGCTACTTGAAGTGTTTTAGTCATCCAAGTCATTCACACAGGCCTGGCAAGTATGGCAGGGGACTTAGAGGAGCAAGATATTTAAGACCAGTAGCTGGAGGCAAAGCAAGGTAGGACTCTCGAATGGCAATCAAAACCGGTTTCTAGGCAGCTGAATCGAAACTGTAGCAACAGGATTCAGATTCAGCTCACAGGGTATGACACCAAAATTCAGGCATGTGCATAAGTGGAATCACCAGGGAAAAATATGCTCCTTTTGTAATTGTTTACCCACTTGATAAATGTGCTCATGTTTTGTTGGGAATAGTTTTTGTGCTGTTAATATGTATTGGTTAAGTTATAAGTAAATATTGGAAAACAGTACTATTTACTTTGCTGACACAACCAAATGGTCAATATAAATAACTGTGAGTATTGCTACGATAATCTTTGTTTCTCTGAACATATCATCTTGTCATATTCTGTATTTTCGTACTACTTAATAATATAAAATAATTCAGAGTTTTGTTCTTGGACACTGTGTTACAGTTATTTTTATGATATGCATTGTTGCATGCTATCTTACACTAGACAATCTGCCCTGAGCAGATAAAATACGTCATCTTCTTAAACTTCAGTAAATTTTATTATACATTTTGTGATCTTCATTGAGTTATGCAAACCAATTTCTCTATTAATTTCAGAAAGTGCAATATCTTTTGTTTAAAGATTTCTTATGACATGCTATGGAATATTACAGACATTACAGACAAAAAAAACAATTGCATTCCATGTAAGGATTGAAACTAACAATTAAAAGCAAATGATTAATAACTCGATTCAGTTGTAGATCATGATTGGTCTATCTGCCCTATGAAACTGCTCAGTCAATAGATCCAGATGGTATTTCCACCTACCAACTATTTATCCAATTAAGAAATATATGGGGATAATTATTTTCATATATTTCAAAAGTGTGAATTTACTAGGTAAGCCCAAGCTGCCATTATTTCTAGTAGAAGAGAGATATATAAATAGCATTTTAATGGAAATAGTTTACTATAAGGAAATTTTGGATCTTCTAATTTTGAAGATACTATACACATGCAAAATATCATTCCTCTAGGATCACAGATATTGAGATTCATCTCAAACAAAGACTCTTTTAGGAAAGATGAACATATCTGTAAGCATGGCCTGGCTTCACTCCTTCAGTATTTTTTGGAATGAATGAGTACTCACAGTGCTTGTCATCTTCTGTGCTTGGCATCATTGTTGTTAGGATTTTCAATCAGAGAATTATAAACTTTGTATAGAAACAGAGTAGCTCCCCAACCACATCTTCCAAGAGAGTTGGTTTTTGACTTTAAAAAAACCAAATTCCCATCCAGTCCGTGTCCTGAATACCAAAACTTCTCTACACAGTTCTGCCATGGCTCAGAGGCTCACTTTCTGACATTTCCAGTGGTCCTTTGAGCATCATCCTTTGAGTGTAGTAAAATGAAGTCCTGCAAGTAAGAAACTCTCTCTCTGTATAAATGACTGAACCTGGACAGAAGATTGCAGAATATTCCAATAAGGCCTGTGTAGATGTATTTCCACAACCGAGCAGAAGGAATAGATTTGTACTATTTCAAAGTCTGATGATGCACACATACTTATGGAAATTCTGCAAGATGAAATACTAGTGATATGCACTCTTCGTTTACATAATCTTTAATGAACTCTTCCAGGGTTTTCCTTTTTTGCATGCTGTGTGGTAGCCTGAGTTACAGATTTTTAAAAAACAAGAAACAAATTCTGTGATAACATCATGCTTTAACAGGCAAGTTTTACAATACTGTGATTTTTGTTTCCTTTATTCACAATAATCTAAGCTAAGAAACACCCTTTTTTTTTTCCTTAATTTCTGAGCTTTGTGGATCATCATCCTGGATTATAAACTAACAAATTCAATTTAACAGTTTCATCACTTAAGTTTATATTTCATTACTTAAGACAGTCTAATCTTTATTTATGAGAAAAATGGTTGAAATACCACACAAACCTTAAAACAGGTTAGGAGGTCGTTCTAATAACATTTTGGAGGAAAGGTGCATGACCTCTGTAAGTAAATGACTGGCAATCATTTGACTTTTAAATTTTCCTTTATAGCTTTCTGAATAGTCCTGGTGAAATTTTCATCCATCATGTCTGCACGGAATAGACCCTGGAGTAAATTATCTTGCAAACTGTATAACACTTTCTCTTGAAGGGATACCCAGGAGTAATAATGTGGATTAGCACTCTCAAGTAAAATAAGGCATGAAAGAAACTGACAGCACAGGCACAACTAAGCATTTCCACATTCTTTGAAGTAATTAAAACTCAGGAAAAAAAATTCATTCTCCTTTTACTTGCTGTTTAGTTAAGCTAGAGTAACTCTGTTTAAGCCAAAGGACTCACTGTGGTATGACTGAGAACAGACTAAGGGCTTGAGATGTTGCTTAAATCAACTTGCTGCATCTCCACACCTTAAAAATTTAGCATTTTGATTTTTTTTAACTCCAATGGTTGAAATATCATAACTATAATATTAGTCCTTATGAGGATGTTCAGAAAGAAATGGTCTTAATTTTGGACCTTCAATGAGAAAGTTATAAGTAAGAGGAGAAAAAAGACAGATGAAGGAAATTATTAAGGGCTAATCATAATACACTTACTGAGATTTGCAAATGCTTTTGCCTATGCACAAATCTGTACTTTGATGTCTTGCTTGGCCAGGCTGAAAATACGAGTTCTACTGCAGATG